CCCTCTTCCTTGGTGCACTTGGTTCTTCGCCGCCTTGGTTCTGTGTTGGGCCCTGCTTCGTAACCAAAGCCTGGGGTTTCAGGAAGGTGGGGATGTTTGGCCTAATGCTAGATGTGGCCCATTCACTGGAAATGTCTCATCTCTGCTTCTCACCTGGACCCCAAGCATCTAGGGGGAGCACTTACCTTGTCCTTGTACGACTGCACCCTGGACGGGCGTGGGGCAAGAGACAGGACTCTGCAGGCTTGGAGGAGACATCATACATGAAGCGTTTGTTCGACCCAGTGTCCGCAGAGAGCCAGCACTTGAGGGATGACAGCTGTTGGTATTGCTGGGGGATTTTTCTTTCTTTCTTTTTTTTTAAGTTGATACAATTCACATGCCATAAAATCCACCTTTTTCAAGTACACAGACAGTTCAGTAGCTTTGAATGTGTTTCCCAGATTGCTCAACCAACACCACTAAGTCCAGCACATTTTCATCACCCCAGAAAGAAGTGTACTCATCTGTAGTCTGTCCCCTTTCCACTGTCGCCTTGCCCCTGGCAACCAGTCTCCTTTCTGTTTCTCTGGCTTTGCCTCTTCTGGACATTTCATGTAAATGAAGTCATACTATGTGGCTTTTGTGACTGGCTTCCTTAGCTTCGCTAAGTGTTCTGTGGTCAAGGTCATGTTATAGCGTGTTTCATTCCTTTTTCTGGCGGAAGAAGACTCTGTTGAATGGGCATATCACACTTTGTTTATCCACTCATCAGGGGATGGACATTTGGGTTGTTGCCACTTTTGGGCTCTTACAAATAATGCTGCCGTGGACATTGCTGGGCAGGTTTTTGTGTGGACGTGTGTTTCCGTCCCTTTGGTTTTATATCTAGGAGTGGAATTACTACGTTGAGACTCTTTCCCAAAGCAGCGGCACCATTTTACTTTCCCACCAGCAATGCAGCACTTTTGTCTTTTTGATCATAGCCATTCTCGGTAGTTATGAAATAATACCTCATTGTGGTTTTGATGTGCATTCCCTGATGGTTAATGGTGTTGAGCATCTTTTCACACGCACTTGGGCCATTTGTAGGTCTTATTTTGAGAACTGTCTATTCAAATCCTTTGTCCACGGGCGCCTGGGTGGCTCAGTCAGTTCAGCGTCTGCCTTCGGCTCAGGTCATGATTCCAGGGTCCTGTGATCCAGTCCCGCATCGGACTCCTTGCTCAGCAGGGAGCCTGCCTCTCCCCCTGCTTGTGCTCGCTTGCTCTTTCTCGCTCTCTCTGCCTCTGACAAATAAATAAATAGTATCTTAAAAAAAAAAACAACCCAAATCCTTCGCCCATTTTAAATTTGGGTTGTCTTTTTATTGTTTGTTAATAGTTCTTTATATGTTTTGGATATTAGCCTCTTATCAGATGTATGATTTGCAAATATTTTTCCTCATTCTGTGGGTTGTCTTTTCATTTTCTTGATAGTGTCCTCTGAAGCGCAGAGGTTTTTAATTTTGATGATATCAGATTTACCTATTTTTACTTTGGTTTCTTGTACTTTTAGTATCTTAAGAAACCATTACCTGACTCAAGGTCATGAAGATTTACACCTATGTTGTCCTCTAAGAGTTTCACTGTTAGAGATCTTATATTTAGATCATGATCCATTTTGAATCAATTCTTGTGTATGGTGTGAGGTAGGATTCCAGCTTCATTATTTCACACATAATTATCTAGTTTTCTTTCCTACCACCATTTGTTGAAAAGACTGTCGTTCCCGCCCCCCCCCCCCAATTATATTGGCACCCTGGTGGACAGTCTGTTGACTCCAGATGGATGGGTCTATTTCTGGTCTCTCAGTTGTATTCCATTGGTCTGTAGGTCTGTTCTTGTACCACTACCATACTGCATGATTACTGTAGCTTTGTAGTAAGTTCTTAAATTGGGAAGTGTGAGCCTTCCAACTTTGTTCTTTTTCAAGATTTCAGGATTGGCTATCCTGGGTCCCTTGCATTTTTACACAAATTTAAGGATTATCTTGTCAATTCCCACTAAAAGAAAGCCGGGATTTTGATGGGGATTGCGCTGAATCTGTAGATCACTGTGGGAGTATTGCCTACTTAATATATTAAGTGTCTTATTCATGAGCATGGGATGTCTTTCTATTGAGATCTTCTTGAATGTTTTTCAGCCATATTTTATAGTTTTCAGCATTTAAGTCTTTGGTTAAATTTATTTCTTAAGTGTTTTTATTTTTTAATGCTATTGTAAGTAGAATTATTTTCTTAATTTCATATGCAGATTATTCTTTGCTAACATATAGAAATATAATTGTTTTTTGTGTGTGTGTGTATTTATCTTTTCTTTTGCAGTCCTACTGAACTTATTTATCTTAATAGGTTTTGGGTTTTTGTGTGTGTGGATTCCTTGGGATTTTCTGTAAACAGGATCATGTCACCTGCATAGAGAAGCAGTTTTACATCCTCTTTCCTGTCTGGAGGCTTTTTATTTCATTCTCTCTCCTAATTACCCTGGCTAGAACCTCCACTATGGTGCTGAATAGAAGTGGCAAGAACAGACATTCTTGTCTTGTTCCTGGTCTTAAGGGGAAAGCGTCCAGTCTTTCACCCCAGCGTAGAATGTTTCTGTGGTTTTTGTAGATGCTCTTTAAACAGATTGAAGAAATTCCCTTCTATTCCTGGTTTCTTGTGTGTCTTTATCCTGAAGGACATTGGATTTTGTCCAGTGCTTTTTCTGAGTCTTTTGGAGATGATCATTTCAGTAAAAGCTTTGTCCTTTATCCTGCTAATATGAAGTGAGCACTTTATCTGCTAGGGAGCCAGCTTCCCAGGTCTGAGCCTCCCCAGCTACACCACATACTCACTGTGTAACTCTGGGCAGGGGACGTCATCTGTAAACTGGGAGTGACTACTTTCTCATGGGGCTCTTGTGAGGGGGCTTGAGTTGCTTTGTAGACGGTGTTGTCTGGCACATATCAAGTGCAGTTTACGGAGCACTTGGCTATGATCAGTGACATGTGAAAGTGTGGGTGGGCTAGGGTGGGAGGGGACACTGAGGGGGGCATTGCAAGGCTAATGTGGGGCCAGGCTGATGCACCTGCTCTGAAACGCCTGCTCATGGGGAGTCTGGAAGCTCTCACGGGAGGTGGCCTGTTGGGCTCCAGTAGTCTCTGAACCTTCCTTTGGGAGAGGATGGGCCACGCACGAGGCACAGGTGAGCACCTGTCTGCTGCAGAACCCTCCAGTTTGTTCAGGCCTTGCGTGTCACATTCCGTCAGGTCTGGGCTGCAGGGGCTGTGTGTTCGCAGCAACAAGCTTCCCCGCCTGGGCTCTGAGTCCAGGCTTGGCGGGGGGCGGGGGGGGGGGGGCAGAAATGGGGCCTTGTCTAGATAGTGGCTTACCACTGAGAGCCAACAGGTGGCCCCACCTCCCCAGCCCGATTTTCCTGACTTCTCTGTTCCTGGCCTCCCCTTTAACCTGGTTCCTTGTCCTGCCTCTGTCACTGACCGTCACATGACTTCGGGCAGACTGCTTGTTCGGGCCTATTTTGGCCTCTGTCCACAGAGGCACTGTCACAGCAGTTTGAGGATTAAATGAATGCTCTGTTTGGAGGGCCTACAGCACCGTCTGCCAGGGCTCAGCAAACACTGTCCCCAGACCACCCTCCCATGGTCCCCAAGAAGCCCTGCAACCCCCCGAAATCTGCCAACAGTTCTGCGTCTGTATGGAGTTTGGATTTTACAGGTGGGTGGGGGGAGAGAGAAAGACACTTTTAATATGCCCTGTGTAATTCTTGGCATTCAATTTTATGAGCTCTATGAGGCTGGATCTTACTACCTTGGTTTAATGTACTGACCTTCTAGCCAGCCAAGTAGCTCGAAGTTCCTGGAGACAGGCCACTTTGCTTCTTTACTTTTTGGTTTGTTTTCCAAGGTTTGGGGGAGGAGGGCACCTTACTAACACTCAGCCTTTCCCTGTCCCTATGCTCAGAAGTACAGGGTGGTCCCACCTCCTGAGGAGCTGCTGGTCTGATTTGAGAAGGGACCTAGACCAGAAGCAGTAATAACAAGCCAGTAATGTAATTTACCAAACGGTAGGGAGCATCAGAATACATTTGGTTATCCCACAAATCATCTGTTTTGCCCTAACTCGGTGCCTGGCACCAGGAGCATCCCGACAACCAGAGCAGACTCAGCTCCCAGAGCTTTTCAGAAAAACCAGATGTACCAAGAACCCGCTGGATGGGCGCCCCTCTGAAACCGGGGACTCAGGCAAGCCAGGGTGTGAGAAGGTGTTGGCAGCGGGGCAGGGCCAGGGCCGACGTGTGTCTGCAGGAGGCTGGAGAAGGGCCGTGAGCATGCTTGAGAGAGAAAGAGGGGGAGGGAGGGAGGGAAGGAGTCAGGAGGCCACACCAGCAGGCAGTGGCTGATGAGATGTGTCTCCCCAGCCTCGGCTTCCTTCTCAAAGGATTGTTCTGCAGACTTCAGAGGTGCACGCAAAGCCCATAGCACAGTGCTAGACGCGTGGCCGGAGCTAACCCCACAGCGTCACTTCTGCAGTTAATGTGAAGCCAATAAGGCGTGTGGTAGGAGAAGGCTTTATTGAACCAGAAAATGTTCATAGTTCACTGAGTGAACGTTTGGGTTCCCAGACAGCGTCCGGTTGTAGAGTTCTGTGTGCATACATGTGCACGTGCCTCTAGGTTTGGTTGCGGTAGTAGTCATATTTGTGAGTGCATGTGGTTCTTTTCTTTGGTCTTCAAGTTTTATGCTTATCATACGTTGGTTCTGTAATTACAGAAATGTTAATACAAAATGTAATTAAAGACCATGCCGCTGTTATCGTCGGTGTCTGCGCGCACGCTCGTGCCCTCGCTGCGGAGTTGGGGGTGCCCGCTCAGGGGAGCAGGGGTGCCGAGGGAGGCCCTGGGGAGGTGGGTCTGTCACAGGAAAGTGGGCCTGGGGGCTAGTGGGCGGCCTGCTGACGTGGGCTTCTTCTCTGTCCACAGATGACAGGATCTGCTCGCCACCCTTCATGGAGCTCACGAGTCTGAGTGGAGACGACACTATGAGGCTCCTGGAGCAGAATGGCCTGGCGTTCCCCTTCAGTGCGTACCACCCCGGGCCCCGCTGGGCAGGCTCAGCAGGCACCGCAGGCTGCAGGCCGGATGGTGGTGGGGAGCTCTCTGTGGCTCCCCGGGATGCACGAGGGCCTTGGCTGCCAGGGAGGGCTGAGCCCCGCGTCTTGCTCCCACCTGCGCAGTGGAGACGGGTCCTCAGGTGGTGTGGGCTGGCGGTGCTCTGCTGGCCCGGCAGCGTCTGTCCAGACCACCGTGAGTGCGGATGCTGGCCACCATTGAGCCAGCGTGTCTCCCCCAGCTCCCCACTGCCCCTTATCCCCATGGGCTGCAGGAATTTCAGGAATTTCTCCCCATGTCTGCCAGGTCAGGCTTTGTGGGGAAGTCACCTCACTGATGTCTCTCTTCTTTTCTCTCCCTGCTCCGTAGTTTGCAAAACCAGAGTGGCTCATGGCACCAACTCTCACGAGGTAAGCGGAAGCTTTGACTGCCCTCTTCCCCCATTTCCTCCCCCTGTGTCCCTGTCTTTCCAGCTCACAGTGTCTCTCTGGGAGCCCGCAAGAGTCTATGTGCTAGATCCCACCCCTGCTGCTCCCGCTCCCTGTCTTGTTCCTGCTTGTGGCTCTGCACACTGTTGCCAGCTTCTGCCCATGCCTGGCCTGTCCCCAAGGGTGGGAGGCGTGTGCCAGGGGTCTACCTGCCCGCTCTGAGCCCTTGCAGATCATATTCCAGTTTGACCTCTGGCTTGTCAGTGTGGATCACTCCCTGGGCGCCCGCTCTGTGCCCGGGCCCTGCACTGGGCCCCTCTGCGTGCTGTGAGCTGGAAAGGTGCTCTCACTGCCCCCACAGCACCTGCCTGCCAACCTCCCACCTGCCCCTTTCACTAGCACCCGGTCCCTCTTGTGGGTCAATGCCTTACACTTTTCTGACTAGTGGCTCTAGTCACTATTAGTGTGGTTAGACTGTCCTGATGCAGAAAAGCTCAGCCTGCAGGAGAGGAACCGCTTCTCTTCGTGAGAGAATTCTGGAATCATACAGACCTGGGAGCTGGTCTGGCTCTGTGCACTGCCAACTATGTGACTTTGGGCAGACCCCCCAGCCTCTATTGAGTGTCTGTCCACACTTGTAAGTGGGGATGTGATGGTGGTTGAGGAGGAGGGGCTTGCTGCCTGTGCTGCCGTGGGGCCTGGCACAGAAAGCATTGGGTGCGCTGTGAGGGAACCAGGTACAGAGCCTGCCAGGTCACTGCAGAATGGTGGGGGTTCCGGATCCAAGTGAGCTCCCTCCTTGGCAGGAGTCTCGACCCTCACTCACGTCTGGGGTCAGTGTGTTCAGGGGAGGCTTTCATCCCTTAGTCTAGCTGTCGGAATCTGGCTCCAAAATGTACACATGTGTGCATCCCTGTCTCTCCCGACCCACAGTGTGCTGTTTCAGGGAGGGGCTCCTCTTCTCCTGAGTGGGGGTGCCGGGTGATTGGGAACGGAGCCTCCAGGATTGGAATCTGGAGGCTCCCAGGGAATTGGTGTGTGCTGCGGGCCACCTGCCTCCTGGGAGGCTTTCATGTCAGAGGGCTGCTCCCTCGCGTGGGGCGCCCCCTGCAGCATGAGTCTGGAGGTTGGGGGGGCAAGGCTTCTCACCTATTCTAGGGGTGCCTGGGGATGTTGAGTGCAGTGAGGATAGAGGACAGCTCTGTGGACATGATTGGCTTTAGACAGGAAAGTGAGGCTTTCTGATTAGGGTCCTTGCCTCGACTGAGGTCTCCCTGAGCCCTACCTCTTGAGTCCCCCAGCCCCAAGCTTAGTGAAACCCAACTAGTTTGGCCAAACTACTCTCTTTCATTGTATGTTCACAGAGCTGTCTGGGTTTTTGTCTTGTTTTTAAACCAGTGCAAGCACACTGATTTGCTTAGAGTGAAATTACCAGCTCCCCCTTCTGAGTTGAACCCCTGAGCCAGAAGCCCAAAGCGCCTCTGAAGCTATCCTGTGGTAGTTACTGCTGCTGTTTTATAAGTGGGGAAGATGGAGCAAGTCCCCCCCCCCCACCCCCGCAGTCTGGCGGCTGGGTGCTGGAGCTAGGACTTCAACCCGTGTCTGGCTCTGGAGCCCCCTGTATTCTTTCCCTGCCTCGGCAGAAGGCTAAGGGGACGGTCCCTGTGGCGCGTGCCCACACACACATACATGCAGTGCGTGCACGGTCCGCTACCCCGTGTGGCCTGGATCTCTGCTTCTGCCCCGTGCGGCTAAGCACCGAGAACGTTGGGGTGGTGCTCTATGATCGTGGACGCCAGGGGCGGGGGCCGGCACAGGCGGCCAGCTGTCCAGGCTCCGACATTCCTGCCCCGAGTTCTGGGCATCTGGTGGCTCCTTCCTGGGGCTTGTGGGCTGCGAGGGATTAGCCGTGGCCCCAGACAGGCAGCTGACAGCCCAAGCAGAGATTTTTCTCCAGCTGCCCTTCTCCTCTCCCTGCTTTAGTGGCCTACCAGATCCTTCTGGGGGGACCTTTGTCCCCAGACAGTCAGCGACTGGGAGCAGCATGTTCCCGCCCCTCAAGCCTCCGTGTAGCTTACTCCGTGTGTCAGAGGCCAAGGCTGCGTGCTGGGCAGACCCAGTCCCATCCTGGGCTCTCCAACAAGCCACTGAGCTTTTTAGGACCTCAGTCTGTAAAAGGTGCATGAGAATAGTGCCCCCCTCAGAAGTGCAGTGTGAGGACAGCACCAGGTGACTCAAATTAAGTGGTCAGAACAGGGCTGGGCATGTCGTGAGTGAGCAGCCAGAGGCAGCCTTTGTCCACATACGGATTTTGACCCAAGGCCTCCCAACTCCCGATCTGTTGCCTTCCACTTCCTGCCTCACCTGGATCTTTGTGGAGGAACCTCTAAGGAGGTCATAAAGAATGTGTAGTATACAACTGGGGGTCCTATTTCCTGGATCACAATGTGAATAGAGGAGTTGTGCAGTGCACAGCCAACTCAATCCTACAGGGAGAGCCTGATGTTGCAGGATTTCTAAGCCCCCGGAGTAGGAGTGAATTGATCCCCAGGTGTTCTTCTCAAGTCTCACTCCACTCACCATGGCTTGAGATTTTTCATGGAGAGTCCTCGGTTCACAGGGGTGGTCCTTGGTGGCAGAGCTCTGGACTGGTGATGTGCCCCTGTGTCTAAGACTGAGTAGGTAGTAGACTCTGACAGTCCTTGGCCCCTTATCTCCACAGATGGCCATCGTGTTCAACCAGGAGGGCCTGAGTGCCATCCAGCCGCCCTGTGTGGTCCAGAACTTCATCAACCACAACGCAGTCCTGTACAAGGTGTTTGTGGTGGGCGAGTCCTACACTGTGGTCCAGAGGCCCTCGCTGAAGAACTTCTCTGCGGGCACGTCAGGTAACCAAGCTTCCTGCCGTCTCGGGGGCCCAGCTGGGGACAGGCATCAGCCGTCGGTCCTACAGCATTTCCACTGCCACCCTGTGTTATTTTTGGGGGGAGGGGGTGTGTGGGGATAGGCTGACCTGAAGGTTGAAGGAGTTGCATGCAGTGGGTGAGGAGGTCTCAGAGAACAAGGTGAAACCCCATCCCATCAGGTCATTGTAGGGGCTCCATCCATCTGAACCACCAGGATGCTTCCTGGGGCCCCACGCAGAAATGAGACTCACGAGGAACATGCTGGAATGGATGATGGGCCCTTCAGGGAAGTGAGTTTGGGAAAGGGCCCCTCGTATTTTGAGGGCCAGAGTGCTGACTGCTTTATCAGATCCCCTTTTTCCAAGTGGGGAAACACTGAGTTACTGGCCACTTCTGCAGCCGCTGAGGTGGCCCCGCGCTCCGTTAGAAGTCCTGCAGGCTCATGGTGTTTCCTAGCTGTGGGACCTCCGGCAGGTCCATGTGGGCAGTCGTCCCCAGCAGGCCCCCCTTTGCAGGGGTGAGGCCCGAGCCCGAGTGTTGCGGATCCTGGGTATCCCTCAGGTGTCACAGGTGGCGGCATCTGCCGGATGCTGCCGTCATTGGAGGCTGGGGGCGCTCCACAGACTCAGCTTTTTTTTAGCTGCTCTCCTGACACCAGGTGGCCGTTGGCCCTTTCAAAAACAGACGCTGAGATAAGGATTTGCTGGTGTTGGGGCTGCTCAAAAGAATGTCTGGGGGTTCTGAAGGCATCTCTGAGGCAAGTTCCAGAAACCTTTGGAACAGAGTAACAGCGTCTTTGAAATAAGCAGAGCTTTCTGAGAGGACCCCTTGGAGGATATTTGATTGTTCTCATGTGGTTTGCTCAAACACGCCGTACATTTATCTCTGCAAGGGAAACCCGCCATCACCAGATGTATTGAAATACCGGCTGTTTTGTCTCCATCTGAGCAAACAGATGTGTCTTCTTAAAAAGTCTCTCCTGCTGGGATTGCCTGTCACCATCCGCTCCTGGTGGCTTTAAGCCACTTCTCTTGAATGAAGTTCAGCTGTTCTTCCCTGGACAGCTTTTTTCTTCCCATTAACACAGCACAGAGAGAGCAGATACTTTGGAAATGTGCATCGATTCTTCACTTTCTTTTTGGGTGCAGGCAGCCTCCTCGTCGGATGTGGGGCCCCAGGACTCGAGTCTGCATTGCCAGGGTTTGTCACCATGGTCCCAGCCCCAACACACTAGGATGATGGAATGATCTAGGGGTGAGAGGACCATGGACTGGGGTTGGGGGGGGGTCGTCTTTTTGTATGTGACTGTATCCCAGCAAGAGGCATTCTTACAAATTGTGGGCGGAAGAGTAGGCTATATGCCCAGCATGGAGCCCAGCTTGGGGCTTGAACTCACAATCTTGTGATCAAGACCTGCATGGAGATTAAGAGTCAGACGCTTAACCAACTGAGCCACCCAGGCTCCCCAAGAGACTATTTTTTTTTTAAATCTTCTGTTATTTTCCTGATTTTTAAAAAATACATGCTTTAAGTCTATGGAAAATGTACACTAAATTAAGAGTGGTATACCTTATGTAGCTCCCTTTCTTTTCTTTTCTTTTCTTTTTTTTCCTTTACCAAAATTCCTCTACCTGTAAAAGGAATTTATCACCAGGTTTTCTTCCTTTGAAGACAAAAAGTATCCTTTTTTTTCTCCTTTTCATCCTGGTTGCAAAGCGCTGGGCCAGCTTCCGTCTCAGCACCGGGAGCCTTCCGCAGTAGGGTGTGGACTCTATGTCCTGTGTCTTGAGGACGCGGGCTCCATGGCTGTGTGTCTTCTGACCATTTCCAGCTTGCCAGTTTTCCATAAAATATCAGCTGGGGCCAAATCGATGAGTAGATAAGCACACAGAGCTAATGCCAAAATGTTTATTGTGCTCAGATAAGCTGACTAACTTTCAGCGTGTTTGTCCATCCATCCCCAAAGCTGGTTTCATGTCTGCAGCCTTTGGGGCATTGTGCCAGGGAGCTGGTGCGGGCTTTGTTCTCTTGGTACGTGTGTTCTTTCCGGATCAGAAGCATAAATCGACAGTGGTCCTTTAAGCTGGACCAATTGAGCAGGGGGGCTATGGGGGCTCTGGGCTCTTTCTAGCCCCCACCCTGGCTTTTTGGTTCTCGTCCAGCACGGCAGGCCTGCAGCTTCCCCTGTCCGCGCAGGTGGTTGGGGCTCCTTGAGTGGGATTCTTCAGGACCTCCGGCGAGCGGGGGGGTGGAGGAGAGGCAGCCAGGGACACTAGCCTTCCCTCCATAACTACTGTTCTGATGATTCTCAGGGGCACTTTTGGGTTTTACTGGATGGCATCTCTGAAGTCAGGTGTGCCTTAGGGCCAGTGGCATCTCGCGCTTGCCTTGCCTGGAATGGAAGTCGGGTTCTTCCTGAGAGGGTTGGTGTTGTCCTGCGCCAGCCATCAGGAACACACATTCTCTGCCTTTCGTTCACAGCTGGGGAGACTGCTCCCCTCTCTCTACCCAGGGCCAGGATCCAGATGGGCACGTTTCTCCGCTCCCCCTTTTGTGCAGTGGATTTACTTCTGTTTCTTAACTGTGAGGACTAGTGCCTTTGTTCTACTCTCCTTCCTGGGCCTTTCTCCCCTTGGGGTCCATAAAAGAACGGCATCGCTTAGCACACAGAGCTGGGCTCAGCAAATTTTTTCTGCAAAAGGTCAGATAGTATGTCCAGCTCTGTCGTAATTATGTACCTCTGCCCTTGGAGCATGAAAGCAGCTGTAGACAATGTAGAAGCAACTGGGCATGGCTGTGGCTCCATAAAACTGTATTTACAAATGCAGGTGACAGGCCAGATTTGGCCGCCAGGCTCTGGTTTGCTGACCTGTCACCTAGAGCCTCTCCGTAGATGCCGTATTTCCTTGAAGCTGCCACGTGCCCAGCCCTGTGCCAGGTACTGATCCAGGAGGGAACGAGATAGTCAGCCAAGCACCCTGCCCCCATGTGCTCGTATTCTAGTGGGAGAGAGCGCCCATGTGGAGAGAAATAATAAAAAGATGCATCATGGCATAGATGAAGGGCTCCAGAGGAAGCAGTGGGGTCCGGGGCTGCTGCTGCCCCCAGCAGCAGAGGGAGCCCCTTGGACAGGGCAGCCAGGGCCGTCCCCTCTGTGCGGCGGATACGCGTATGGGACCCGGCAGAGCATTTGGGCCCCCGTCTGCAGCAGTGTGACCTGTTTCCCTGGCCCTGAGACCTGCGTGGAGATGAGGCAGACGGAGCAGAAGAGTGAGTGGCCGCTTCTCCTGACTGCTGAGTTACTGCAATATTGGGGTGTTAAGCTGGTCATGGACTCTCTTCTTTCTCATCTGTAAATTGGGCGCCACGGCACCCCTATTCCCTTCATTGCCCTCCTGCCCCCGCGGGGTGTTGGTGGGGCTTCTTCACTCAGGCTGTGTGTCTCAGGGCCGCTGTGGACACGGGGAATACCTGGGGCCCCAGATCCAGAGTGCTCCTGTGATTAGGGTGCCAGGGTCCAGCCAGCTTCATCTCTAGAGGGACTGGGTCTCTTAAAGCTCCCCGAGGAGTTGGCATCAAAGGACGTGTGACCCCTTCTGACCCGTCTTGGCTTCCCGGTCTCCGGGGTCGGGGAGTGGCTGGAAGCTGCCCGCACGCCCTGTGGCCCCTGCTCAAGCCAGACACAGGTAGGATGTAAGCAGAGGATGGCTCCCCCCGCCCCCCACCAGTTCTGACCGGTCTTCTGGCCAGAGCCCTCGGATCAGAGTTAGCCAGGAGGAGAAGGGGTCTCCTTTGAAATGGCCCACATGTGTGACTTGGTCTTCCTGTTGCAGGGAGCTCTTGGGTGACATGATCTGTCCAGTTCAGCAGGTGCTGGCTGTGCCCTTCTGAGTGCCCAGCTTCTTGCCTTCCTGGCATAAACACCTGTGGTGTTGCCTCGTGGCTCCTGCAGGCTTCCCAGCCTCCCTGAACTTGGCTGTGTCTGCCTGCTCTGCGTGGCCCTTTACCAGCGCCCCCCCCCCAGGCTTGCTCTGCCACCCTTGGGGACCCTCGGGGTGGGTGGGAGGCATCCTGAGTTTGGTGGGGTTGGGCCAAGGTGGGCAGTGCCTACAGAAGGCCAGAATCCCTCACTGCAGCTGCCCGATCCCCACTCTGTCCTCTGGCCCACAGGCCTTGCCACCCCTCAAGGCTCACTCTTTTTGGCTGTCGGCGCCCAGGAGTAGAGATTGGTGGGGCTGCCTGGCACAAATCCTGCAGGGTGTTTATTTTCCCCAGGCTCCTCCCCAGGACCGTCTCTCGTGCCCCCAGTCTGGACTGGCTCTGGTCGGAGCGGCGGGAGGACTGTCGGGTACACCGGGGCGGCAAGGGGCCTGTGTGCCCCACTAGCGGGAAGGATGCCAGGTACATCTCAGCACCTGCCTGCTTGGCCTCCGCCCGAATCACTTTCTCATGCATGATTGTTGTGGCGCCGTAATCCTGGAGCTGGTGGGGGTCCTTGGCGATCAGAGCAGGTGCCCCCTGTGGCCTGGCCCCTCCACACCATGGTGCTCAACCAAGGCCCTTCCTGTCCTGCGCTCAGGGGCCTGGGTCCCAGGGATGAGCAGTGTGTCCTGGGAACGGGAGCCACGATGCCCCGTCCTGGAGAGACTGAAGCAGAGGCTGCCAGGGCCACGTAGGGGCTCATGGCCCAGGACATCCCCATGTCATTCTTGGGGGGGCATGGGGTGGTGAAGCTCGCGGTTTTGTGATTCTTGCATTCCTGTGCCCATGCTTCCACGTGCTTGAGAACGTGTGACCGACCAACCTCACTCCATGGGATGGATGGACAAACCAGCTGCTTATTGCTGTCATTATTCTTGGGATCGGTCTGCCCATCTGGGTGGTGCCCCAGTGGGACTGAGGGTATGGTGGGAGGCAGACATGGATCAGGAAGTATGGTGTGGGAGGAGGTGGAGGGTGTTTCAGGGGGGCTGTGCCAGCTTCCAAAGCCAAACAAATTTTTCTGTATACTTTTCTTGGATGGATCCTATAAAAGCCCATGTCCCGATTTCCTATTTTTTCCCCTATGTATTTGGGAAACAGCAGAACCCTTTGTATTCTAAAGGCCACTCACGTGCCAAGTGGCTGTTTGGGCATTTCTCAAGTGCTACGCTGAAAAGGAGTACCATGGTCACATACTAGGAGGGGCTGGAAATACCGGATTAAACAGCGTTTCCCGTACCTCTTGACTTCGGGCCTTTGATACTCCGGTACAGTGCATTTCCCACTCACTCAGCCACCACAACGTCCTCTTAGCCCCCTTTCTAGTGCCACGTCCATAAGACGCACTGGACACACTTTGGAATGCGGCCTTAGGTGTTGGGGAAAACCAGATAGGATCCTGTAAGGTGGTAGCAGAGGTAGGCTCGTTAAGGCAATTATTTTTGTATGGGAAATGGGAGCCGTCAGTGGACATGTTTCCGGTCATGGTGCCATGTCTCCTTGGCGTGGGGGTGCCCGGCTCACTGGAGCCCCAGGTGGGCTGCTGCTGGATGCCGAACCGTAAGGCCACCGAGACTGTGGCCGGAGTGGTGCTGCCCCCTGGTGTCAGTTGGTGGAGTTACCTTCTCTGCCTTGAGCTGACTCTGGCTCCTTCCTGTCTTTGCTTTTTCAGACCGGGAGTCCATCTTCTTCAATAGCCACAACGTGTCGAAGCCGGAGTCCTCATCGGTCCTGACAGCGGTATGTTCCTCCTGCTGTAGTGGCCTTCCCTCCCGACCCTGGCTATGCGGGTGCCGCTTGCAGTGGGGCCCAGGGCTGGGCTCCAGCAGAGCACTAGGTTACTCCCGAGGGAAGATTTTCTAACTCTTCTCCCAGAGTGAGGATCTCCCCACCCTCCTCCCAAGTCACGAGGAATTTGCAGACCTGCTTGCTCATCTGCCTTTTTCCTGATTTAAAAAAAGGGGTGGGAGGCAACAGCACCTCCGTCTTCCTTTCTCTTTCCTTGTCCACGTGAATCCAGTAAGCGTTTGTTAAGGGCCTGCTGGTGCCTCTGCGGGGGTGGCTCATGGGGGCAGGCGGGCTTGGGGCGAGTTCTGTGAATGTTGCTGTGTGTCAGGCACTGTCCTAGACGCCCCGCGGCGTCACGCCTGGGCCCCGACTCGCCCTTGAGGGAGCAGGGCCGACAGCTCTGTTTTCCGGAGTGGGGAGGCTCATGCTCAGCAAGGTTGAGTGACTTCTCCAGACTCACAGGGCTCTTCCCTCAGAGGCCACGCTGGCCCATGACCCCAGATTGGTCTGATTCCAAAGCTGGGTCCCTTGGGAATTTCGGACTTCTTCCCTCACCGGCACCTGCAGAGCAGGGTTTGCCCAGAGTGGAGAGTTAGAAATTGTCACAGGGCAGCTTCTGCCGTCCCTCTCAAGTCCAGCGGGCTGGCGGTCTCCTCTGCCCCTTCCCCTGACCTTGGAGCCCTGGGCTGCATCTCCTGAGTCATGGCCATGCTGGCTAATCTGGGAGGATTTGCCTGTGCCCTCCTCCCTGTCCTAGGCTGTTCTCACCAACAGCATCCATAGTAGGCCCCTGCCCCTGGGCCTTACTCCCCTCCTTCCTGTACTGGGGGCATGCACTTGCCTATCACCTCCTGCCCCGCCCCCACCCCCCGGGCCGCCTGTTCATTTCTTGTGTCTGGTTCCTCTGAGGAGCCAGCTGTGTGCTGAGGGTTTGACAGAGCACAGGCGTGGACTGGGACCAGGAGGGAGCACCAGTGTCCCCCAAGATGTTGAGAGACGTTCCCCAGGAACACGTGCTGTGGTCAGGGAAGCTTGGAGAACAACCAGATTTTAAGCCAGAATCTCCACGCCTGGCTGTGTGCATTGTAAGATACAAAAAGCTGTTTTGTGCAAGCAGAGGGGTGCTGGTCTTCTAACCTTCAGAGACTTTAGACTGACCCAGTTCCGCAGGGCTTCTTCCCTGAGAGGGTCTCAGACCTTGTTTGGCTGGTGAGTTTGTGGGGCGGGGGTGGCATTCCACAGGCTTCCTGGGACGCTGCCCCTGCCAGTCCCTGTGTGGCTCTAGCGGCCCCTGGGGCTGTTCACTGATCCCAGAGGGTCCCAGGTAACCTTCTAGATGATCACCTGTCTGCTGCTCAGCCTGTTGCTTCATCTGTGAAATAGGAAAGCTGAGAAGCTTCGAGAGGCTTCTGGGCCTCCTCTCGACCTGTAGGGGCCGTCCTCATTTCCTCCTTCCCCTCAGCTCCTGACTGCCCTTCAGGAAGCCCCCAGGACTGACACCACATAAAACAAGAGAGGTGGCGCCTGGGTGGCTCAGTCGTTAAGCGTCTGCCTTCAGCTCAGGTCACAGGCCCAGGGTCCTGGGATGGAGCCCCGCATCGGGCTCCCTGCTCGGCGGGAAGCCTGCTTCTCCCTCTGCCTCTCCCACTCCCCCTGCTGTGTCTCTCTGTGTCAAATAAATAAAATCTTCAAAAAACAAAACGAGAGAAGTGCGCTCATCAGCCATGCCCTTTTCTGTGGGAGACGTAAGCCCCTCCTGCCTTCCTCACTCCCACCAGGGGTCTCTCCAGTCCCCGTCAGGGCCTTCTGGCCTGGCCTTGGAGCCCCGCCTCCCTCCCCTGCTGGAGGCCGCTGAAGGTGGACCCCACCCCCACACCTAACTGCAGGCCCCCACACTCCGCTGTCCTAGGGTATTGGTGAAGAGTGTGGACCCTGACGAGACTAGCTGGCCTCAGCCCCGAGCTCCACCGGGTTTCAGACGTGTGGCCTGGCAGTCACGTTGCCTCGCTGAGCCTCTCTTCCCCCCTCCTGCCCCGCAGGCTGGCCAGGGGATTTGGGGAGTTAGTGACCTCCTCCATCGCCTCCCCATTTCCCGGAGCATCGTTGTTGCCTTCGTGTTCACAACCCAGGGGCAGGATCTCTGTGCCTTTATCTCGTTCTAGGATGGCTGTTTAGTTTAAGGTCATCAAACAGCTTCAGAAGGATTTCTCAGATGCCTTAGCTGAGCTGAGAAGGTGCTTTTCTGAGCAGCGTGTTAGGAGACTTGGTGATAACACAGCAGCTGGAGCCCGCCTCGCCAGCACGCCTGGGTGCCAGCCTCTTGGCTCACACGTCCTATGGCGCACGTGGTTTTATCACCCCATTTCTTGGAGCAAGAAAACAAGGCCCAGAAGTGTACATGACGCCTCAGGGCCTGCAGGGGGGAGTGGGCTGTGCCAAGGCGTTTGCCTGGCTCCCTCTGACTTGGGGAGGACCCCGGGCCACAGATCCAGTGGCCGAGCTGCCACGCTGGGCTGAGCCTCTGACTAGCAAGAGTGACCTTGAGGTGGGTCCAGGCTTGGGCAGGTGCTCGGTGACAAGGGCTTGTCACAACCAGGCCGATACTGCCCCTTCTGAGGTGTTTCCTCTGCTAGGACGCCGAGACAGCAGGGTCGTGTTTGGGGGCCCTGCCGACTGTGCAGAGCCCACGGGCGTGGCTTTCACAGCAGGCTGCGTGGCTTTCACAGCAGGCTGCTGATGGTGCCCTGGTGTGGGCTCCTTGCTCTGTATGTGTCTGCAGGTTCCCCATTGGCCCTTCTGGCTACCTGTGCTGGGGTAAGGGCCATTTGTGCCCGGGGCTCTTATCCTCAGCCCTCCTGATTTAGCTGTATTTTTATTTTTATTTTTATTTTTTAAAGATTTTATTTATTTGACAGAGCACAAGCAGAGGGAGAGAGAGGGAGAAGCAGGCTCCCTGCTGAGCAAGGGGCCCGATGTGGGACTCGATCCCAGGATCCTGGGGTCAATGACCCGGGCCGAAGGCAGCTGCTTAACCGACTGAGCCACCCAGGCGTCCCTTATTTTTATTTTTTTTGAGTGCAATTCACATAAGATACAATGTAGCCATTCTCAAGCGAACAGTTCGGTGACGTTCAGTCTGTTCACCTTGTGCAATCGCCCCCTTCTATCATGTTCCAAAACATTTTCAGCACCTCGGATGAAAACTCTGTACCCATTAAGCAGTCACCCCTTGGCAACCTCTTCCTCCCAACCCCTGGCAACCACGAATCTGCTTTTCGTCTCAATGAACTTGCCTATTCTGGACCTTTCATACGAACAGTGTTACACAGTGTGTGTGACCTATCGTGTTTGGCTTCTTACACTTGGCCCTACTGTTTTGAGGGCTCACCCACCCTGCCATTGTGTAGCCGAATAACGTTCCATCCTGTGGAAGACACAGTTTGTGTGTCTGTCCGTGTGTGGACGGACATTTGGGTTGTTTCCACCTTTAGCTGTTGTGAATGTTGTCATAGTACTTGTTTGCAGTCTGTTGGGTACATACCCAGGAGAGGAATTGCTGGGTACGGGGTAATTCTGTGTGTCAGTTTTTGACCCAACTTCACTTTTACTCTGATGGGTCGACCACCCTTCTTCCCCTTTGGCCCCTGAGCCCCACGACCCCCAGGACTCAGGAGTCCAGTATTTATGGGGCACCTCCTGTAACCTTCCCCTGACGGACTCAGAGGCAACACAGGGCCCTCCCTGCCCTAAATGCAGGTGTAGCATCTCCTTCCAGCCAGGCCGATACTGTTCCTACCACATCAGTGACCAGCAGAGGAGAGACGCCTCGTTGGTCCTGTTTTGCACGTGAGCAGACCGAGGCACAGTGAGGCTGGGTACTTCCGCCTCGGACCCCAGAGCTAGAAAGTCACTGTTACTATTCAAATCTCTATTCCCCTGATCCACAGTCCTTCCCAAGGTTTCCCTTCCTCGGCGGCCCTTCCAGGGGCCAAGTTTGAGTCCGTGTGCCTGTCCCAGGCTGGCTGGGACTAGAGCAGGAGACCAGCAGCGTGGGGCCGTCCTTCCGGGTTGTTACAGGGACTAGACTCTTAGTACCTGCCCAGAAGCGAGTGGGACCTGGGGAGTGGCCGTGTGGGTGCTGCCCTCCGGGGCTCTGTCCTGCCCCCTTCCAGAGGGGAAGGCCAGGCTTTGGGGCACCTGGGCAGGATCTCTGTGTGTGGTATGGTGTTGCACCTCCCCACCCATGGCCTGACTTGACTTCCGTGTGTGTGTGTGTGTGTGTGTGCGCGCGCGCAGCTGGATAAGATCGAGGGCGTGTTCGAGCGGCCGAGCGACGAGGTCATCAGGGAGCTGTCCCGGGCCCTTCGGCAGGCGCTGGGTGTGTCGCTCTTCGGGATTGACATCATCATCAACAACCAGACTGGGCAGCACGCGGTCATCGACATCAACGCCTTCCCAGGTGAGTGGTGGAACCAGGAACCCCCTTCGTCGGTCTGTAGACCAGTGTCCTTGGGCGATGGGGCAGGAGGGTTGGGTTGACCAGCTCCCTGTCTCCCTGGGGTTAGTGCAGTCCTGCTAGGCCTCAGCGCCACCTGCAAAATGGGTTTATAGCGTGTGCTGAAGTTGGCAAACGAGGTCGGTGCATCCAGCCAGGGAGAGCACAGGGCGCTTAGTGGGCCTGCACTAAATATCTTTCACCTTCCTCACCCGACCCTGTGCCATCAGCACTAGCCTTTGTTGGCCAAACCTCAGCTAATCTGTTGGGTCCTTCTGGATTCAACGAGCTGAAAAGACTCCGGAGGGAGTACACCCTCCACAGTTTACCTGCGGGGAACCGAGTCTCCTAGGGAGGGAGAAATTATCCCAGGTCACAGGACAGGTTGGCGACTGGCCGTGCTCCTGCCTGGGCCCTGAGCTGTGGTGCTGGGGACAGGCCTTGGAGCCGGCCAGCTCCTCGTTGCTGCGGCGCCGGCTTCCTGCTCTCTGGACGCAGGACGCATGTCCCGGGGCCCTCAGGGCTGTTGCCACAGCCTGGCTCTGCTGTGCTCCACTCATCTCGAGCAGCAAGGGGCTCAGTGGGAGATAGCACCCGGCGAACCCTCAGTGGGACCGTTAGCTTGCAGGGATGATGGCCATGACTCCCCAGTTGGCGTTGGTGGAATGAGCCCGCTTTGCATGGGAGTACCCCGAGCCTGGCTCGTCCCCCCTCCCAGCTGGCTTTGACTTTCAGCTTTATTAAGTAGCTGCAGTGGAGGTTAAGTCAGTGTCACTGCTCAGTGGGTGCAAAAATGTTCAGGAAACGGTTCCTCCCCTCAAGGTTAGCATCTCGGGGGAGAGCCCAAGCGTGGCATGTGCGGAGTGCTCAGGGGGTGTGTGCAGGGCGCAGGGTAAGGCCTTTTCCATGGGGCGTGGAGCGCGACCGCAGGCTGAGCAGCTCCTGGGCATCAGGCTGGGTGCTTGACGCGTGTCCCCTGACTCAGCATGCAGCCAGGCCCAGCCACCATTGCAAGTCACAGCCACGGAAACCGAGGCTGGGAGGACACCACTGGCTCTTTCCGCCATTCACTCGAGGGCCTACTATGTGTCCCAGCTGGTCCAGACACGTGGGTGTGGCGTGACCACGGCTCAGAGGAAGGGAAGGAGCCACCCCCTGAGGCCTCTGGGAGGGGCTGGGACAGGGAGGCCAGAGAGGAGCCCGCCCTGTGGCATGGTGAAAAAGTGGGGTTTCAACTCTGAGCTAGGTAAGAGTGAGCCACTGAGGCCAGTGTTGGGACAATGGCCTGTATTTCTCCAGTCACCCTGGGTGTGTAGCCTGCATGGAGACCTGGGTGTTGGCAGAGGTGGGGTTTTGATGAGTAAGTGATGGAATGAGAGAGACCAAGGGAATCCACGGCACGTCAGGGGAAACAGTGAAAATAAACGAGGGACTCTAAAGCAGGGGGGACACGGTTAGTGGTGGCTGAGCGTGAGGATTGGTGGGGCAAGGGGGGGGCGATGCAGGGCTGTCAGGGTAGAAGTTCTAGAAGGGTGGAGATGGTGAGAGCATGGAACTCTGCACTAGAGCTGTGGCTCTGTGCAAGGTCCTGAGCCGGCCCCCTCCCGGCCTGTGCGGTTTGGGCTGGGCATCACGAGGGCATCCTGGGTGCTCAGAGGAGGGACGGTGACCGTGAGCCAATGTGGGCGGAGAGGCTTCTACCCAGAGGAGCCCAGAGAAGGGCCACTGGGTGGGCCTAGGCATGGAGGTGGGGTCTCAGGTGGCCAGAGCCCTGAAGCCCAGCAGAGACTGCCTGAGGGAGCACGCTGCTGGGAGCATCTTCCCCAGGAGATGGCTGCTCCCTGGCCTCTCCTGGCTTGGTTGGCAGGCACTCGTGGGCCCGTCCTGAGGCGTGCATGCCAGGGGAGGCCACATCAGGCCCTGGGTGGGCGGTGGCATCCCCGTCGAGGAGGCCGCGTGCCAGGCTTGGGAAGTAGTAAGAGCAGTAGCTGTTGGCAGCATACCAGGCCTGCTCTCAGAGCACTTTCTCCCCTTTTGTCTACACCACAGCTCACGTGCAGTGGGCTGTTAAGACCTCCCTTCACCTGTGGGAACGTGGTGGCAGGGGCTGGCTGACTTGCCCAGTCCTGTGGCTACCATGCGGGGGAGCTAGGAGCGGCGCCCTGCCCTCCTGACCACAAGGCTTCCTGCCTCTCAGCCGAAGGTGAGGGTTCAGATCCTGGCCCTGCCCTTCCAGGCTGTGATGGGACAAGCCACGGAGGTGGACGCTTCTGCCCCATGGGGACAGAGCTTTCCACTGTACAGAGACAGAGGCAGGGACGTTGGCACAGTGCCCGGCCCCGAGCTGGTGCCCGCAGCGCTCGTTCATGCTCCGTCTGCTCTCCCCAGGCATTGGGCGCCGGCTGTGTGGCTTTTAGCCGGGTCAGGCTGACCTCAGGGGCCTCCGCTAGCCTGCAGTTCAGCCTCGGGTCTCCATACCGCCCCAGGAAGCCCCAGAAAGCACACATGCCCTGCCCTGGGCCTCTTCGGGCGACCGCAGAGTGGTCGCCGAGGGAACAGCCTGACTCTTCTCCAGCCCTCCACCCTCTGCCTGCATCTCTACCCCGGATTCCCAGCAGCGCACCTGCGCCTCCCTGCCCATCCTCCCCGGCCTCCCCCAGGCCTCGGTGGGCCACCCAGGACACCACAGGATAGTCAAGGCACAGATGACCAAAGCGCTGATTGAGGTCCTGGCTCTGTCCCTTGGGAGCTTTGTGTCCTCCGTAAAACGAGGCAAATCCCTGGGTCCCCCTCCCCAGGGGCTGTGAAGAGGCCCAGAGGCCGGCACTTCCTGAGCCTGGTGAATAGCAGCTGTGGGGGTCCACACCCTCACTGTGCACAGGCCCGCGTCAGTCCCCCTGTGCATGGGGCCCGTCACTTAACTCTCTGTGCCTCTGTCTCCTCGTCTGCAAAATGGGGACAGCGTTGTGAAGAATGAGTATGGTGCCTCAGCTCTTGTACCCGTTGCTGTGGGCACTTCTCCCCCCTCAGCCTCAAGCACCTCAAAGCCGTAGCTTTTGTTTGCTGGGCAAGTAAGATTGTGGACAAATGAGGCCGCCCCTGCCGCCTGGCCCCGCGTGGGCTCTCCTGTGACAGGGGCTGCGCCCTGGTCATTTCTGAGGCTCATTCTTAGCCAAGGCTGTGCTGGCAGCTGTGAGGGCCCTCCTGGAGGATGTGCAAGGGTCCTGGCACCCTCTGAGCACCGGCCTCACGTTGCTGATGGAGGCCACGGTCGTGCGGGGGGTCAGCAGTGCCTGGAGCCCCTCCCGGGGTGGGCACACACTCTCGGTCCTGGTCTTGGAGCTGTGTGCCCAGCCCTCCGGCCTCCGGGGTGGTTCAGGGTCGGGGGAGGGCACCCACTCATATTGAATTTCTACCAAAGCAGTTTTTTGGGAGTCAGCAGAATCCTTGCTCTAGATCACAAACCGGCTCGGTGGGTAGTCTCCGAGGACGTGTTTGCTGACTTTTGCCTTCATATCTGTGTTAGGAAATAAATGTGGGCTGTGGGCAGCCCCAGGCCCCGCTCTGTTAGCGGCATGGGTGTGGCCGTGCAGTGGCCCCACTGGGGGCGCCCGGTCTCCGTCCTTTGGCTTTGATGCTCTGAGCACGTGACACAGAGGGCCTCCCTCCGGGTATTTTGGGGGTGAGGAGGCAGCAGGCTCTGTTCCAGGAGCGGCCACTGTCGATCCTGCGTCCCCTCGGGCGTGCCCACAGCAGCCTCCAAACCGAGACCTCTCAGTTTACACAGGAGGAAGCTGAGCTGGGCCACGTGGAGTAGAGGGTTGTTTGTGATTGAGAACGTGAGGAGTGGGCCTTTGGTACCGCCCCGCCCCGCCATTCCTCTTCCCCACGTGCGTCTTGGCACACTGGGTGGGTGAGTTCACAAGATGCTGACGCTGTGTGTAAGAGGGACAGGGTGCAGGGTGTCTGCCTGTCCCCAGCGTGACAGCTTCTCACACCCTGGGGACAGCTGAATTCAAGGGCTAGCCCTTTGGGGCCGCCCACACCCAACTTTGAGTCTAGGCTTGGTGGCTTCGATGGGTACCCTTATTTACTGAGCCTCGGTTTTCTCTAAATCCTGAGCGTGCCCACCTCGAGTTCTGCGAGCCGTGTGGTCAGCCTGCGCCCCGCCCTGCCCCGCGCCCACGGCCCGTCTCCACCGCAGCCTGGCTCAGCGCCCCGTGCTGTCTGTCTTTCCCACCTGCAGGCTACGAGGGCGTCACTGAGTTCTTCACAGACCTCCTGAACCACGTGGCCACCGTCCTGCAGGGCCAGAGCGCGGCCACAGCGGCCGCGGGGGACGTGGCCCCGCTGAGGCACAGCAGGCTCCTGGCGGAGCAGGCAGGCAGCCTGGCAGGCGAGCGGACGTGCAGCGCTGGCCCCGGCTGCTGCAGCAGCATGATGGGCCCGGACCCCCCCTGGACGTCGGAGGCCGACGCGGGCGGTGTGGGCCCAGGCGGCACCACCAAACTCCCGCACCAGAGACTCGGCTGCACCGCCGCCGTGTCACCCAGCTTCCAGCAGCACTGCGTGGCCTCGCTGGCCACGAAGGCCTCCTCCCAGTAGCCGTGGAGCCCGGGACCCAGAGGGCGGCGCGGGCCGCAGAGTGCACCTGCTGGGTCAGCCCCTCCCAGCAGTGACGCTCCTACTAAGAATTCCCAGCGATCTGATTCTTCTTCTTCTTCTTCTTCTTCTTCTTCTTTTTTTTTTTTTAATTTTTAACCTGATTTTCTGATGTCATGATTGAAATAAGGGGTGGTGGAGGGGGAGATGGAAAGGAACCCTAAGTGGTCCAGCCTCGGGGAAGATGGACATCCCGCCTGATACCTGCTGTGCAGATGTCTTCACTGGGTTTACACTTGCTGTGTCTTCAACACTAGGTCTGAGTGTGAGGTGGGGTGTGTGTGTGTGTGTGTGTGAGTGTGTGTGAGTGAGTGAGTGTGCACATCCACGTCTGCTCGTCTCGATGGCTGCTGTGGATCAGGCCTCGGGGACCCCGGAGAGGGCAGGCTTTTGGCAGCTGAGCAGAGCGAGTGAGGGGTTCCTTCTCTCTCTTTTCTGCAAGCTCTCTGCACCCGGGCCGGGCCCCCTCGCTGTCACCCTCCGACTGGCCACCCCCACAGCCTTGTGCAGAACAGGGCCTTAAAGCCCCAACCAGGTGTGCAGCTGTCCCTCCCAAGAGCAAGAGCCAGAGGGAGTGAGAGGTGCACCTACTGTTTCCTTGGGGAATTCCATGCAGGGGGTCTGGGCTGTGGGCCGCCTGTTTCCTGCTCACAAAAGGGAAGAAGGAAGGCCTCGAGTTGGCTTCCCCTTTCCACGTCCAACTCCCTGGGGTCCACCAGGCCCTTCAGCGTGGGTCCCGTGCAGCCCTGCAGGGGGGCCTCCTTTCCTGATCAGGCGCTGCTCCCCAGGACCCAGGAGGAGACTGCCTGATTGGGACCCCCCGGGTTGATCCCGCCTGTGCCAAGGATTTGTGCTGTGACTTTGGACAAATCACCTCTGGAGTTGCTGGGCCTCTGTGTCCTCATCTCTGATGAGTGGTTGAGCCCAGAGCACTCTGAAGGGCAGGCTTGATGCCCCAGCCCCTGCGGTGCAGCCTGCTTCTCTGAGAAGTCAACCTGATGCGCCTCCGCTTGGCATTGAGGTGCTCGGGGGCCCTCTTCCCCAGGATGGGGAGGCTGCCTGTATGCTTCACGTCTTTTCACACCCGCCCAGCGGGCCCGCTCCACCCTTCTCCCATACTCACTGTAAGCCCTAAGCACTAAGCCAGCCAAGTGTGAAGGGAGCTGCATCCCCAGAGGGGAGGAAGCCATTACCCCCTCCTCCATGAGCATCACCCCGGCCCCTGATGGCAACAGATCCCACCAGCCGATCGGTCTGTTCCCACGGTGCAGCGGGCAGCCCACCTGCTCCTCCACAGAGAAGGGGGCCAGCGAGAGGCTTTGTCAGCCTTGGGACAAGGTGAACTTGGGTTTGATGTATAGGACCCCCTGAGCATGATCTTGTGTCTTCAGATACCCGTTCGCTTTGAGAAAGTGGGAAGGGCTGGGCTGCCCTGCATGGTCCAGTGAGGGTGGCTTCAGGGAGGCTGCTGACCTGGGCGCTCGGAGGGACCTTCAGGCCCGGCTCAGCAGGGGCGTGGGGGGTCACCCACCTTCGGGAAAGGAAGGGCTGGGTGGTGGCCGCCATCAAACGGGGCTGGGCCTGGGGTGAGGGTTGGTGCCATCGGAACTGCCCGGCTGTCTTGCAACCTGAGGGCCCACCGACTAACCGCGTTTACACGACTTGAGTGTTGAACCCCGATTATAATGTCTGTACGGCGCCTTTCCTAGTCCAACCCTGAGCCCCGGGGAAGCAGGAAAGTGCGGCTGGCCTCTTGCACTGCTTTGTCTCCAAAATAAACTACTGAAATCAAACTGCATTTCACACGTGTTTACAAATGTTGCTGAAAACTTGTGTCGTTCTGGTCTGTTCATGAAATTCCAATCCCGACCTGCCTCAAGAACAGGTTGGGGGAGGGTGCGGGTGACCCCCGATGCTGGGCTGGGGCTCCTTGCCATATCGTGTTCCTGTGTAACTTAGGTCCACCCCCAGGATCACACATGCTCAGGTCCAGGGCCCACAGGTCCAGTAACAGTTCCCCACTGGCCTCAATGCAGGTGGCAAGCAGGGTGACTACTGCCTCTGGGAGCCGAAACTGAGGGGGGGTGGGTTTCACTTCTTAAAGACCTGGGAGCAGTAGGTGCAGGGAGAGGGAAGGCCCAATGTGGGAGCAATCGGGCCACTCCTGGCCTGGCTGGTGATCACCATCCAGCAAACATTGGCCGTTCTGATCGAGGGATTTTAGGAGCAGAGACGAGAGGGGCCATCGGGGAGGAGGCACCAGCCAGCGACCTCCACTCCGGTGTTGGCTGGGTGCACACTATCCATAGAATTCATTTCCCCTCAGGCCTTGCGGTGTCTGCATTAGGGAAGGGCCCACTAAAATGCACCTCGCCTTAGCAGCCCCTTCCCCAGAGGCTTGCTGCTGCTGCCCCTGGATCAGGGCCCCAGGGCGGGGTCTGCTGCGGTGTGCATGTGTATCCCTTGGAGCCGGCCCCACCAGAATCCGGAGGGCAGTTAGGACTCTCATTCCCAAGCGTCTGTTTGCCGGGTGGTGGGCATGGTGGGGTCTGTGGCCCTGCGGCACCTGTCTGGGTTGCGGTCAGCAGCCGGGGCTGCTGGAGGCACTCCTGATGTCAAGGGCTCCAGGAGCATTTTGGCTGATGCCCTGGGTAGGTCCAGAGGATCACTTGCAAGATCTCTGCCCTGGGCAGCCTGAAGCGGAGGCCTGGGGCTCAGTTCTGCTTACAGATGCTTTGATTCTAGAATGATGTGATTCCACAGACATTAGGCCCCGACTGAGTGCAGGCTCTGGGTATCTAACCTCTTCCAGAGGGCCCGGGGGAGTGTCCTGGGGTAGCGCCCTTGCCATTGGCATTCACAGAGGTGTCTCCGTTTGCTGGGCAGCATGGTGGGCGGGGCCTGAAGCCACCCGCATCACTGGGAGGAGGCCGACCCAGCTGGAACCCCAGGGAGTTCTCCGGTGCATCCTTTAAGTGCGCCTCTATCAATAATGGAGAGAACAACTTTGAAAGAGTTCCTCTCTATCCAGAAGCCCACCCGGCGGGCCTTGTGGAAGGTTGAAGGCCCACAAGAAATGAGCTTTCCAGCCGGGCGGCGGGGGGGGGGGCGGACAGACACACAGCTGTTGCCTGCCACGTGGCCACTCTGAGACCGAGGGAGATGGGATGTCCTCGTCCTAATCTAGAAGCTTGGCCTGGCTCAGGCACTCACACCGACCGCTGGCCACACAGCTGATGAATGGCTTCACTCATGATCCTGGGGTCTGCATCGACCTCCCCTCTGTGCCCTAGAAAGTGATCATCCGGTGGCATCCCCAACAGCCCCTCGTCCTCCACGGGCCCCGGCCCGGAGCTACAGAGACCTTGAGCTGTGTGCTGGCTGTCCTGAAGGCAACGGCCCCTCCTTGTGGCTTACCACGGGGCAGAGAAGTGCCCTGATCCTTGACCTTCTTCCTTGGCCAGCCTGGCCACGCCCTGATGCCCTGCACCTCGCCCTGCCCTGCCCGAGTCTGACGTGATGTGGCTGAGGCCCCAGACCCGCGATGCTCCCACTGGTCCTGCCCTCCACGAGGAAGGGCCTGGGCCTCTGCCCCTTCTCTCTGCGCAGCGTCACCAATGTGATCTCAGAGCAACACCCCCCCGCCCCCCAAACAGACTGTTCACAGGACAGCGCGATGGGACCCGGGCACTCTTCCTTCTGGTTCTGACCACCCGGCCCTGCCCAGACCGCCTGGGACCTTTTCCAGAACCCGTTGCGTTTCCCCTTTACTTCCAGACCCGACAGCTTGGAGGGGCTGTCTCATCCCCCGCAGCCTGGCTGACCTCTTTCTCCAGGGCTGTCTGTGGGATCACACCTCTTCGACATCTGTTTTCCCTCAAAAAGCTGCTCCCATGGTGACTTCACCCAAAGTCTGGTGGTTCTAGTTCTAGTGACACCTGTGCTTTGTGACAAGTGCTGATGCTCCGGTCCTGTTCACACAAGCAACAAGCAACATTAACCAGACCCCCAAGCTGCCTTGTACTTGATTGTGTACATCCAAGCACACGCTGTCTCCCTCCATATACAGACTGTATATAAATATCACTGCTTCTGGAAAAGCCAGGAGACGTCCATTGGCTCTTTCGATTGGGCTTTGTGTTCTGCGTGATTTTATTTAAAGATTTTATTTATTTATTTTTCAGAGAGAGAGAGAGAGAGAGAGAGACAGCATAAGTAGGGGGAGAGGCAGAGGGAGAAGCAGGCTCCCCGCCGAGCAGGGAGCCTGATGTGGGGCTTGATCCCAGGACCCTGGGATCATGACCTGAGCTGAAGGCAGACGCCTAACCGACTGAGCCACCACCCAGGCGCCCCTGTGTCCCGCATGATTATGACACTACAGGTGGCCATCTTTGGGATGGGTTATTTCAGGGACAAGGTGACCCCATGTTCTCTTTGTTAACTAGTCGTGGTAGCAGATGTTTTGGTATCCGACCGCCTCGTGGAATACAGTTTGGTGGTGTGTGTGTTATTTCTGTAATTGTCGTGGATGGAGTGCACCCTTGAAACGTGTGAAGAAATAAACGCCTTATGGCACCAGCTTTGGAGGGGGTTCCTCTGTGCCTCGGGATGGTTAGTGGCAGTGGCGGGCAGCCCCCTCACCAGCCTCCTAGGCGAGGCTAGACCTGCCAGGACCCTTCCTTCAAAGGACTCGTATCATCATCATAATGGTTTTATGGTCCAGGCTGCCCGGGCCCTTCGAATCCTCCTTATCATCTGATGATGGAAATAATACGTATTCTCCCCATTTTACAGATGAAGAAATTGATGTCCAGAGATGCAAAGTCACTTACCCCGAGTCCCCTGACTAAAAAGTCGCCCAGAAAGGATTTGCTCCAGGGAAATAAACTTCCCCTTGTCCCTTTGCGCGAACCCACCCCACCCCACTCTGAGTCAAGGGGGGAGACATCCACAGAAACCAGAAAGCCCAGAGCAGATTTATTTTTCCTTAGATAAATTTTGTACAGAATATATTACAGTCAGTAGTTCTCAGCTTTCACCAAAAGGTCAGAAGTTATTGCAGTTGTGCCCAATGGCTCTGATGGTGGAAAGGAAACTTCTAGAAAGCTGCCTGTGTCCAGAGAGAAAAGATCACCATTTAAAGTGTGTGTGGGGGGGTGTCCGCCCTGCAGAGGGGTGCACCAGGGCAGGAGTCAAGAGCAGGAGGAAAGGAGCAAGGGGGCGACAGGGTGGCCTGGGCTTGGGCAGGCTGGGAGCAGCCTCTCTACCAGAAGTAGCACGCGGGCCGTCTGGCCAGGGCCTGCAAAGGGCTGCCTCGGGGCCCTGGCTGGGGGGCGGCCGGCGTGTCAGCCCCGCCGCAGGGCCTGCAGCTGGTGGGCCACCTTCTCCAGCTCCGCCTCGATGGCCGACAGGCTCTCCAGCTCCTGGTCCTAGGAAGGAACATCAAGGCTCCTGCAGGGACTGGGCCGGCCGTGTGGACGGTGCAGTCTGCCAGACTGGTTGTGCCGCTGGCTAGCTGTGTGGCCTCAGACAGGTGGCTTTGCCTCTCTGAGCCTTAGGGCCTTCATTCATACCATGGGGACAGAGACACTGCCCTGCTGGGATTACTGAGGGTTACTGTGAGCAAGAAATGGAGGGGGACCAGGGGCCCTGACCCTACACCACCCCTGGTGGCCTCAGATCCAGACCCGCCTCCTGAACGGCTCTGGGCAGACACATGGAAAACGAAGTCTCATTGCCCTCCAGTGCTTCTCCCAGGCCCCTCTCCCAAGGCCTGGACCATGACAGTGGCCCCGAGGGCGAGGACAGGCTTCCCCGCCTGAGGAGCCGTGGGCCTTTGGCACAGGTTGAGGGGGGTGAGAGCTGCCCTGCCTCTCCCTCCTGAGGGCTGGGCCTGGATCTTTAGGCCCCATCATAGGGGGCTCTGGCTGCCAGGGTGGTTCGGGGCAGAGGACCCTTCTGGGAGTCCTGCTCTGTGCCCCAGCCTCAGGAAGCTTCCAGGAGCCCCCGAGTCAGGACCGATGTCCACAAGCCCATGCCCTGGGACTCAGAGCAGGAGTCAGGGAAGGCCATGCCCCCACACCCGGTCTTGACCTGGGGAGGGTGGTCTTCGCGGGGTCCCTGCTGGATGCCAAGTGGTGGAGGACACCCATTGGGGCCACTTGGAAGAGACGGACGTGGTTGTCATGGAAATAGGGAGCCTAGAGCCTTCTGTCTTGGAGTAGCCCCGGGGGCATGAATTCTGTGATGCTGGAGCATTTCTCAGAAGCCCCTCGGGCTGGGTGGAGGAGGCCCCTGCCCTGTCCTGTCCACATGGCTCTGGGGCCCCCATTCCTCTGCCCTGCAGTCCAGGCTCCCTCTGCCCATGGAGAACAGAAGCTGGCAGACACCTCAGGGCACCTTGCTCTCTCCAACCTCTGTGGGTGGGGAAGGGGGTGATCAAAGGTGCCCGGGCTTGTCCTGGTCCAAAGCTAGGGCTGGAGGGTGGTCTCCTGGGGACACTGACAGATGACCTCTCCTAGCTCCAGCTGCCCAGGAGTCTTCTTCCTCTCAGGCTGCCAAGAACTGGTCCCAGCGTGGAGGGAGGGTTGGGACCCGAGGAAGGGGCCACATCCTTCTCTGGGTGGGCAGAGAGCACCGGGGCCATGGAGAGGTCCCAGCCCCCGCAGGGCCCTGATTCCTATCTGGGCACTGAGGCCTGGACCACAGACCCCTGAGCCTCCTCCAGCTCCAAGGTGCTGTTGCCAGCCTGCCTCGCAGGGACCCCAACTTGCACCTCCTCACCTCTGGGGCTATGTC